TTGTCCTCTGTGGTCCACTCACCTGTGGCTGGAGTAGGGACCAGAGGGCAGAGCCAAACCCTGGCTCTTGCGGCGCCCCCTATGATTGAGTTGGTCACATGGGAGGATAGAAAAAGTGACTGAGCACTTCTGCTTGGGGCACCGCTCGAAGCTACTGCCACCTTACCTCCCCCTGCTGTCACTCCCAGGCACCTAGGATGGAATTAACAAGAACATACTACTGTCCCCAAAGTACTCAACTCTGTGAGGTACTAGAGGGACTGACCAGAATTAGTCGAATGCTGGGGCCTTGGACACTTTGGGTACAACAGTGACAGGACAAATGACCAAAGCAAAAAGAAAAAACTTTAGGCCGACACTGTGGCATTGTTGTTGGGGGAACTGGATCCTACGTGGACAGCTGTGAGGTCTAAAACCATGCCAGTGTGTGTGCATACCTCAAATCCTGATGAGATGGAGGAATAGAAGAAAAAAGAGTGACCATGCCCCACTGGGGGGTGTCTCCTCTTTCTGTCTCTGTCTCGCTCTGGTTGTAGAACCAGAGCTTACAGAAGGCCCTTCACTCCCATTTCCAGCAGCTTCTCTGGCCTCTGGTCAGAACAAGGGATAAAGGCCCTAGGACCCAGCATGCAGCTGCCTGGCACCTCTCTGAGCTCATGCACTGCTTCCTCGCCACTCCACAGACACAACGAACTCTCTCCACCTCCAGGCCTTTGCACCTGCTGTTCCCCAGCCCTGGGGTGCCCTCCTGCTCCGTCCACTCATCTCCCTTTGGCCTCATGCAAATGTCACTTTCTTTTTCTTTTTTAAGTGGCAGAGGCACATGTACTGTCTGTCTGTCTCTTTTTTTTTAATAGAGATTTTTGCTATAGGGCATGTGTACCTACTGGGAGAGAGAGATAAAGCTTAAGCTTCACCTTAATTTTACAAACAGACCCCTACTCTGTTTGCATTCTTTTTGTTTTAGGCCAGTGTAATGAGAGCTGAATCTGTGATTTGTCTCGGCAGGTGTCAAGGAGGTAAAGGCAATAGGCTTTGGGGCCTCCTGCAGACCTCCTGCACGGCTACAGCAGGGTGCACCTGCTGGGCTCACCTGCACAACTTAGACTTCCCTCTTAGTGGCGCTTGTAGGATCCATGACCGAGCCCATCCTTGTGGCAGGCAGAGGCCCCATTTTTTTTAATGGGGTCTTGGAGTGTCCGAAAAGAGAAACTGGGGTCTTGAGGCAAGCTAGATAGAGCCAGAAGGAGAACATACTCCTGCCACCCTTCTTGTGGCCGTCGGCAGGCGCAGGGCCAGCCCGTGTGTGAGTGGCACAGACTCTCTGCTTGGGGGCATCGTGTGGATCCTTATATGGCTGTGACTGGGGGCTTTGGAGTCAATAGACCAGTCCACTGACTACTCTGTGGCCTGGAAGCTGCTCAGATTTCTAGTCCCAGTTCCTGTCCATGAAAGGGCAGTGCCACCTGCCTCCCAGGCTCTGAGGGCATAGTGCTTGGCGCCCAGTGGTCCTGCCAAGTGTCTTGTGTGGAAAATGAATTAACGTTTAAAATTCAACCTCTTGGGACCAGCAGGTAGCGTAGTGCTTATGTCATTCAACTCCACATGGCAGACCATGGTTCAAGTCTCTGACCTGGTGACTTCAAAATCATGTAAGGAGTGTGTATGTGTGTGTGTGTGTGTGTGTGTGTGTGTGTCCAAGATCCCAGGAGAAGAATGGAGGAGAAGGGACTGCTGTGTGGCCATCCCCCCAGGGGGTGATTTTTCGCTATTTCTCTCTTTGTCTTCCTGGCAAGTGCACATGCCATATGGCAAAAACCTCATTTAAAAAAAAAATCACCCTCTTTTTCTTCTTTGTAATTGTTCTTTCTTGTCCTGGATTGTTATGTGATTCACAGCCACATACAGCCATTTGGTGTTCCTCTGCCAGCCCTCTGTGGTCCGTCAAAGCTCCAGTAAATAATCGCTTTTCCAGTCCACTCTCCTGCAAGTCTCAGGAGCCTTTGGTTAGAAAATAACTCTGTAGTCTCACAGCGTTGCTCTTTTATGATGAGTCACGGATCTGCATTCCTTTATTTTAATTAGGCAGCAAAGATTATGTCAAGTGCTCCCCGGCCGGTTTGATAGGGGCTGTCAGTGGTTGCTGAAAACATGGCAGAGCGTGTTGCCAAGGCTCTGATGCCTCTGGGAGGGCTCGGCTTCAGGAGCCGCCTTCCTTCCCTGTCTCAGGAAGGCTGTCCTGGTCTCACGAGACGATTCCATTTGTTCATTTCAGGGATTCTGTTTAGCATTTAACCTTTTACTCTTTGATCTGCAAGTTTGATAATCAGTGACAAAATGTTTTTCAACTCGGAGAATGGTGCTACCGCTTTCCTCCCCTACTAGGGCTGGAGGAACCCAAATGCAATTCAACGCTGGCTGCCTGTCCTCGTGGGGAGGTGTTTATGTGAGTCGTGGGTCGCTGGGGAAGTGTGTGAGCTAAGGTTATACCAAAGATGTGTAGTAATCTGTGCTCTTAGCTTTCAAAACAGGTGATACTGGATTGAAGAAAAAGTTCTAATTGCTCTCTAACTATAACTCATGTGTCTTACAAGTGAAAAGTGTCCCAACTTTGGACTTACGGAATTGGTAAAATCTAGACTTTGGGGTTTATTCCGCCGGAATGTAAGCAGAGCTGTAGGGTTAATGTGTCCCTTGGCTGCTCCCGTCAGGAGTGTTGTTCACGTCAGGTGCACAGTTTCCTGTCTGCATCCTGCTCGGCTCGGTTTCTGTGTTCAGTGTAGGTTTGCTCTCAAGCACGAGGGATGCCAGGAGCAGTGAGACTGTCCCTGCCCATGGGCGCAGAGGGCAGCCCCTGGCTTGTGCACATTAGTCACAAAACCGTAGAATCTGGGATGGACTGAAGCACAGGGACAGCTTAGAGGGGACATGCAGAGCTGGTTCTTAGTCCAGTTACCAGAGAGATCGTTCCACTTGAGTTCCAAATTAAAGTGAAGAATAGCCAGGCTGAAAGCAGTGCCTCCCAGGCATGGATGATGTTAGCAAAGGCTCAGGTATGAGATGGCAAAAGGGAGGTAGAAAGGTCTGAAAACTCACTGAATTTCGTGTTGCCGTGAGCCCAATGCAGAGGGGACAGACACAGGAGGAAGTCAGAGAGAGGTGTGGTGGGGTGCATCAGTCTGATTCTGGAGGCCTTAGGCACCGTGTCTGGAATGGGGACTTCGTTGTGTAGTCGGGGGTGTCTGGTGGTTGTGCAGGTAGAGCTGTGGGATGGTACAGGCTGTAGATCAGATGGAGGATGGAGCATCGAGACATATGTGGATGTGTGGGTGAGATCTAGGTCGGTGGATGGATGGATGGATGGGTGCTGGGTAGCTGGCTGTCTGTGGGGGGGTTCATGAAGGCAAGGAAACCATTTAGAGGCTTTTGCAGTTGTCCCGGAACGATGTGAGGAGGACCTAAATGAGTGTGAAGGTATTAGAAACAGGAACAGACAGACATGAGAAAGTTTAAAAAGTGAAATCAGGAGCCGAAAAAATGAGGCAAGTGAAAGCGAGGGCCAGAAAGATGTTGAGGAAGGCCACCAGGTGTCTGACTTAGTGGTCAGGTGGGGGTAAACTGGGAAGGCTGGAGGTCGGGCCCGTTTGCTGAGGAAGGTGGTGAATCTGGCTGAGGTCACCGGGACAGCCAAGTAGCTGGTCCAGCAGAGTTGGGTCCTCTCCAGTTGAGGAAAAAGATCAGAGTAGGAGGTGCATGCGCGTTTGGGCATCAAAGGCCTACACGTGCTGGTGGGGGACAGTTACATGCAAAGACACGCAGGGACTGAGGTGAATCGAGTGTGGGCCAGGGCGTCGGCAGCATATGTGTGTGGAAGGTCATGGACAGGAGGCAATACCTCACACATCCTTAGAATGGACAGTAGGAGAGACGAGCCAGTAAGGGACGGGGTAGCCTAGCAGGGACTGTTGGCAGAATCAAGGGCAGTAGAGTCGCTCCGTGATAGGCGGTCGGACTCCCCACCGGCTCAGCGTTGCAGACCTCATGGGTGACCTAGGTGGGAACAGCTTTCGAGGGGAGCTGACGGAGAGTAAAGGGAGGAGAGAATAGAGGCCACAGCTGGAGGCAGTGCTTGGCCCCAGCTTGGCTGAGATGGGAATGTGCGAGAGCTTTCCAGAGGGGCCTGAGTTTCTGGGAGGCTCACGGCCGTGGGTGTGGAAGTGGCTCCCTGTAGGGCTTATTCCATTAGCAGCTGCTTGGTGAACAATCTCCTGCTATGAGAAGTAGGTCATGTTTACATCCAGTTGCACATGTTTGTATTATTGCAAGCTGAGGTTTTATTTACGCTCATCGGGGAAAAATGAAGTGTGTCCCATATATCCATTAATTTGTTTTACATGTGAGTCTGTTCACCCTATTATTGAATGTTTAAATATTACCCAAACATTAATCTTTAGAGAGCATTGTTTTACATTTCTCTAGTTTTCTTTTTAGGATTCTCTAAAAAAATGCTTTTTATACTCCTTGCAGAGCTAGGAGCTCTACAGTACAGATCATGCCCACTCGCTGAACATCATCCTGCAGGTCCGTCTGACTGATCACAGCTGATCCTTAGTGAGATGGTCCAGGCCCTTGGTGTTCTGGGCTGGCAACCACTCCAGTTGGTTCTTGACTGTCTCCAGGTGCTGGAAGGAAGATGCAGTCTCCTGATGGTCCATTCCTCTGTGCTCTCACCCTCCGTGCTAGGCAGCTGGGCACTGCTGTTCCTTTCCTCAGGAGCCCGCAGGGACATTGCTGCTCATAGCCCGCAGGTGCAGCTCTGCGTTCCCACCTGCTGAGAACTGAGCACACTGCTTTGTGGTTGTACACGTACATAGAGTTCCCTTCCAAGATCCCGCACCTTCCCCACAGGGACGTCTTCGTGTACCTGTTGCATGTCCGGCAGTCAGTCACACACGGGAGCTGCCGGCCTGGTGCTCACCTTGTCCTCCGCTTCTTTCCAGGGAAGCAGTTCAAGTGCACGGTGTGTGACTACACGGCGGCCCAGAAGCCACAGCTGCTGCGGCACATGGAGCAGCATGCCTCCTTCAAGGTGAGAGGGCTTGGAGGGGATGCTCGTTGGGCAGCAGGCTCGCCATGGACACAAAAACTAGGCGGCCTGTGTCTGTGGTGTCACCTTCACTTTGGGCCCCTCAGTGGGGCACAGGAGCTAGAGTGGTGCAGTTGGCCACACTGTGTGGTGTAGTGTTTCCTGTGTTTTGGAAACCAGCCGAAGGACCAGCAGGACAAGAGGTAGACAGGAGGGGTGCACTGCCATGAAAATGCCCGAGGGGTATGGACAGCTGAGCGCAGGCAGTAGGGACGTGGATTCGTGCTTTCTGAACCTGGATTATCTCAGGTGAGTCGCCTGATAAACCAGGTGTGACGGAGCCCTCCCGGCAGGCGTTAAAGAACTGGGGATGGTGCCAGGAGAGCCCAGGATGCTGTAGGAGTTCAGGGATGGTGGCCCATTGGAGTCATCCTCTTCTTTTTCGTTTACATGTATCTTTCTTTCCTGTGTGTCTGTGTATGTGTGTGCGGGAGAGAGAGACAGGGAGCCTGGCAGGGTCCTGCCACGCTCTTCTACCACCCCATCCCTCAAGCCGACCAGGATCAGGGGTGTGCCTGGGTGTTCAGGTCGGCCTGGTGTCCGAACCTGCACCTCCCCACGTGGCCCCAGCAACGTGAAGCAGCTCCCTCTGCCCATGCGGGCGTGGCTGGGCCAGCTTTCTGCAGTCTTTTAATACCATAATTGATGGTTTGTAATGTAGGTGGTAATATCCACTTAGCCTCGCCCCTGCCGCAGTGATTGACAGCGAGAGCTGTGATCTAGTCACCTGTTCAATAAAACATTCTGCTCAGCACTTGGGGCACCTTGACCCTAAAATTGAAGCTGCTGCTAATGCGGGCGGGTACACAGGAATGAAATCATCCAATTTGCAAACACTGCTCTGTGATGTTTTTTGCAGTTGCATCCACTGCTTAGTCGCGTAGAGCCCTAGAAGGTGGGGGACTGTGGTAGCCACACTCACACCTGCACTTACTGAACATAGTTGATGTGCTGACACGGTGCTAGGAGCTTCCTGTCCTTCAGCCCTAGGTCACAGATCTCCCTCCCGTCTCTCACCTATTCTTTTTTTCCCTACCATGCCCATAGCTATAGATTTCAGTCACCTTTATAAGACTGGCTAACCTGTCTTCACCACTCCTGAGGTGATGGGGCCTGTCCCTCTCGGCCAGCTCATCTCTGCTCAGGACAGCCTTTGAGAGAGATGGGGAGGCCTTGTGACTTCGGTAGTTGAAGAAGCTCAGTGACTCAAGATAAAGGCTTATTGCTCTCAAAACCCAGGGAGTGCAGGAGCCGGAACCTGGACGCACCCTCTCGCTGCTAGTCTCATACTGTTCTCACTACACCCCCCTAACTACTCGTGGGCAGAAAGGGAGAAACTGAGACACATTAAGGATGCTTTGACCTGTTGCGTATGTAGCTGTTTTTAATGTCTAGACTGAGTGTGGGCCCTCCTTAGGTAGGGCCCATGTGTGGCCTGGTGGGATTGTCATGGCGTCTGGATTGAGGAGGGTCTTCAGTGTTGTGCAGGTGTTGCACATAATTAAAATTAAGGGCATTATTTCACATAGATGTGTTTCTTTGGGAGACTCTGGGTTTTCTTAGACTAGTGCAGTTATCGTGTTAGAGTGTGGGGAGCTAAGGCAACCACATTTTACGGGTGAGAAGCTTAGCTCCAGTGAGGTTCAGTATTTGCCTGACTGTCCATACCTGTTAGTAGACTTAGCATTCATCCCTTAGGGTTTAGTGTGAAAACGTTTTCTTTCCTAATCAGGCACAGCTGAAACTGTCTTTCTACCCTGAAGCCCCATTGTTTTCTTTCGAAGTTGTGCACTATGGTTCAGCGGCAGGGGAAATGGCTGGAGATGGTCTCAGCTCAGGAGTGACTCATGCATGTAGTCATCCACTGCTTCTTTTTACTAAGTCTTTCTTTTTTACTAAGATTAGATCTCAAAATTCTCAGGCAGGTACTATTGGGTTGCTGGAAAAGTCACGATACAACTTTGCATAGAAAAATTACATCATGACTTTTCCAACAACCCGATATTAATGTATTGCAATTCACTTGCAAGATAAATCCCGTTTGCTTTTATAGATCGAGCTATATAATTTATAATGCATATAATAATTTGTGTCAGGAAACACTGTGATAAGGGCAAATTCCTGTGTTGCCTTTTTAAATGACATGCTATTTGTATATTTATTTTCAAAATAAAATAGGTGTTCCCTAAGATTTGGAAGATGCTCATGGTTCCCTTTCCTTGTGGGATTACTTATTTGTTGTTTACAGTGAGGTCATACTGTGAATGGAGACTTTTGTTGATGGAGATTAGAACACCTGCCTTCCCACAGTCAAGCCCCACTGGAGAAGGGGCCTAGCTGAGTGGCACACAGTTTGCTGAGTTAGAGTCTCCCAAAGGCAGGGCTAGAGAGTGCACGTGCAGTGACAAGTACCCTCTTTCATGAGCACGTCGTGGTCATTTTTCCACTTCATGAAAATGTATTTATGAACTATTTTCGATGGCTGCTTCAGGATGAATAGCTTAGTCTAATTAACACTGTGCTTTAGTCGGATGGTTTGGTCATTCCCAGTTTTTGCTTATTTTAAGTAACCCTACCATGGACTTCTTCATGCCAGAAGCATTTCTTTTTCTTTTTTGGGGGAGGTTTTTGCTATAGGGCATGCGCTCGCCAGAAAGAGAGAGACAGAGATAGAAAGTGAGAAATCACCCCCCCCCGGAGGGGGATGGCCACACCGCAATCCCTTCTCCATTCTCCTCTCAGGATCTTGGGCATGCATGTACACGAACCTGGTGTGAGTTTAAGCCACCAGGTCTAGGACTCGAACCGCGGTTGGCTACATAGGAGTCCAGTGACATAGCCATTATGCTAACTGCTGGTCCCCATGCCAGAAGCATTTCTGTCATCCTAAAATCTGAAGGACTATAAACCACTGGGCGAAGCCCCTCAATGCCCTGGAAATTCACCCGTAGTGAAGATGCTGTAGGGATGACTTTCAGGTGCAAATAAATGTCTTCCCTAGGATGGAGGTGACACATGCAGCCTTCAAGAGGGGCCAAAGAGAGAGGTGGACAAGAGGAACTGCTGCTGAGCCAGGAGTCTCTCATCAAAAACAGGCACATTCCTTTCTTTGAGCTGCTCAGCTTGTCTTCTCAAATAAGCCCATGTGGTTACGCGAAGCAGCGTGTCAGCTAGGCAGGAAGCTCCTGTGAGGCGCGCTCTGTTTTAGGCTCAGGTGGACCTTGTTTGTAGTGTCCTCAGAGAAAGGGCTGGCTTGTTTAGTGGCAGTCTCCTTGTACATGAATCAAAAGTGACCATTTGTTTGGAGCCGGGTGGCGACCCAGTGGTGACAATACTAGACCCACGTGGAAGAGGCCCTGCGTCACATGCCCTGACCTCCCTGAGCGTTCCTGACATGTGATTTTGCCTGTGATCTCGGCTGCTAAGATGGGATGAGTTGGCGTATGGTGACCCTGTAGGGGGTTACCCACCTTTTCTTTCTCTCATGGAAGAAATAAATCAATAAATTTAACAAACTTTTAAAAAGTTACTACCATTAAATAAAGTTTTATCTTTTGACTTTAAAGAGATACTCATTTAAAGAGGATGCTTTTAGTTTTGCTAGCCTTGTGTGTGTGTATATATATATATATATATAAATATAAAACATACTAAGTTTGAGGTGTAATTATATGTTCAATTCACTGAGATTCATACACACCGTGGCATTGGATTATTATAATTACCGATTCTGAAAAAAAGTCATTGCACTGTTTCCTTTCCTGCGAGACACAGAGTTTGGGGTGGGTCGTGCCGGTGTGGGGTGGGGAGTGCTGGGAAGAAAAGCAGAGGAAAACCGAGTTGGGGCTTGTATTACAGGCCGCTCAAAACTGGCTCCTCAGACCCACCATTTTAATGACTTGGGGTTGCTCTGCTTTCGTCCCCATGTTGCTTGCTGGCTAGATTGTTTAGCTTCATTCATTCTTGGAAATTATGGTAGGTTTCTTAGTGTATTTGCTAGGTATTAAAATCTGACAGTGGTATTTTAAGATAATACTTTTAAAAACTCAAGAAAAAAATCAACTGGACAGCTGGAATTAATTTTATTTTCAGATGATGCTGGCTTTTTAATATTTGTCTTCCTCTTATGAATGGTTCCCTCATATTAAAACTAAACTGCTACCAATAGCCCGACTGAAATGTAAGCAAAGGATGTAAGAACAGGTCTCAGAGAAAGGAATAGCCCTTGAGTATAAGATGATAATAATAATAAGGAGTAAAACACATGAGACACTGTTTCTCATTTATCATGCTGGTGAACTCTCAGCAGTTGGCTAGCATACTCCACCGTGAGGCTGAGGAAACACCTCCTTCGTTCCTGGAGGGTGTAAGTGGCCACTCCCCACTGGAGGTCAACTTGACAGCCTTTGTCAAAACTGCAAGTGCATTGACTCTTTGACCCAGCATTGCCACTTGTAAGAATTTATCCTACAGATATTCCTACAGATGTATGAAATGATGACAGTACAGGGTTACTAATTACAAAAAACAGAAATGGTTATGAATAGGGCAAGGGCCAAGTGGACAACAGACTTCTCTGTAGCTACAAAACACTCCATTTACCTCTCTAAAAAGTTTTTTGTTTTTTATTTTATTTATTTTTGTTTGTTTGTTTTTTTAAATTTTGGGCCAGCAGTTGGCGTGGTGGTTAGGACACTGGACTCCCATGTGGCAGAATGTGGTTCAAGACCCAGACCCAGCAACTTCAGAGTCATGCTGGGTGTGTGTGTGTGCACGCACACATGCGTGTGCACATGACCAAAATCCTGAGAGGAGAAAGGATTGTTGTGTGGCCATGCCCCCTAGAGGGTGATTTCTTGCTTTCCCTCTCACTGTCTCTGGTGAGCACACACACCCTATGGCAAAAACCTGAAAAACAAAACAAAACAAAACAAAAACCCAAA